TTTCTAGGACCTTTCCCGACATCATGTGCAGGCAAGAAATGGATTGTGGTAGCTACGGACTATCTGACCCGTTATGCTGAGACTGACTCTCTGTACAGTGCGACAGCTGCCGAAGTCGCCAAGTTCTTTGTGAACAACATAGTGCTCAGACATGGTGCGCCCATCGTCGTTATTACGGATCGGGGCACAGCATTTACTGCAGACCTTATGCAATGTCTGATGCGCATGACAAATACCGATCACAGAAGAACAACGGCGTATCACCCTCAGTCGAATGGTTTAACCGAACGCCTCAACAGAACTCTGACCGACATGCTATCAATGTATGTCGATGTTGAACATAAACAGTGGGATGAAATATTACCCTACGTAACATTCGCATATAATACCGCCGTTCAAGAAACAACCCACGTTGCCCCTTTCGAACTAGTATTCGGCCGAAGAGTGACCACCCCACTGGATGCCATGTTACCCCTACAGGACGAAAACAGCTATCCACCTGACTTAGATGACTTCTTGCAACGAGCCGAAGAAGCACGACAAATGGCAAGATACCGAATACGCCGTCAACAGCGCGTCGACTCTAGTCGGTACAACAAGCGACGCAGTGACGCACTTTATCATCCCGGTGACAAAGTGTGGATATGGATCCCAGTGCGCCACCGCGGACTCTCTGAAAAGCTTCTTTGTCGATACTTCGGCCCTTATGAAGTACTCAACCGTATCAGCGACGTCACTTATGAAGTCCGATCCGCGGGACACGTGAGCTCAAGACGCCGCAATACCACGGAAGTGGTACACGTAGTCCGCATGAAGCCCTATCACGACAGATCGTCGGAAAACGAGTGAGAGGGCGCATGTATCATTTTACTCTCTCAAGCATCGGGACGATGCGTCTGAGGAGGGGGATAATGCCGCGACAGGTTAGCCACGTCCAAGTAGCCGCCGCAATCATCATGGCAAGAGCACCAGCAAGACCCGGCTGGCATGCGTCACGCGTTCGTGCGCTCCAACAACGAGAAAGAGGAAGTTGTTGAATCTGTGCCTCTCGTCTACTCGGACTCGACGACGATAGTCATTAGGCTTGTGGGCACAAGTTCGCCCTAATAAAGTTGCTTGTTTTTCAGCCTGTCTGCCTCAGCATCGCTACAATATGATCCGAGTCTATGAGCGCGTTTAATTTCACGCGGATCAATGGTGGACTGAAGATGCTGAATGCAGTTATCAATGATTAGTTTTTCGGACTCACGCCACCTTTCATTAGGAGTGTCTTTTAACCCATAAAAGACGAGGTTACATCGACAAGACCTGTTGTCGGCGTCGTCAGCTCGAGCAGTCAGGGCAGACACATGTGCGACGCAAGCGTCGGTTGCCGCATGAAGTGTGGAAATTTCAGTATTGGCAGCCACAAACTCGGTGCACTCAGATTCAATTTTGGCCAACCTAGAAGTTATTTCGACAAATCTTTTCTCATGATCAGTCAGGGTTACTTGAATAGATTTTAGTTGGTCTAGGATGGCTGACTGCCTAGACTGAAGCTGACGTAGCGTGGTAAGCAGTTCAGAGTTTACACTGCCATTAGGACCGGGGTTCAATTCAACATCACCGGACAATAATAATAAGTCAAACAGTATACAAGAGCAGTCATACACAGTGGTGCAAAGTGAATGTGGGCTCGGCAGCACGACTAACGCTTTATGACTGGTTCGCTTGGCAAAAAGGGAGTCACTATTAGTTACCTACATAGCGAAAAGCAGTGGTTGAAAAGCCCGAACCATTGTTGACGTGCCGACGAGCCCACAAAAGGCGCGCAGGCGATGGTGAGGCAATATATCCGATCCTAGCGGAAGGGGCGTAGCCGTTGTCGATGCGGAACCGGAACCCGTGCCAAGATAGCCGGGTTGAAGGAAGATAGTCGATGATAGTTGACATGAGTTGATTTGATCGTGTGCGCACACGGCGCACGCAGCCTCGCGTGCCGGGGAATACAGGTGCTCTGAGCAGGGCGCAGTCCCAAGGGAGCATGCCAGGCCACCACGGTACCCGAGTAGCGGGGTGGATCCAGCGGGGCCCCCGAGGGCCAGCTCCGGTAGACCGAAGGACGCCAGGCCAAGAAACTGCATGGTGAAAAGCAGTGGTTGGTAAGCACGAACCAGTGTTGACGCGCCGATGAGCCCACCGCAAGTAGGGGAAATGCATAGAGCGTTTCCCCTACTTGCATAGAGCATTTCCCCTAATGAATACATCGGTACTCTTGGTGCCGAAAGAGCGGCGTGGCTCAGCCATCATGCCACTGCCATGATGGGATGTTTGGAGTTGTGTGTGCATGCAATCCCTTGATTTACTATAATGGGAACACCTCCGGATGATGTCATGGCATCATCATGGTTCTTTCGGAAAATAACGTATTTACGAAGAAATTGGTGTGTTTTGATTAAGGTGTGTTTCTTATACACACAGCACTTTTGGTGAGTGTTCGTGTAAAAGTTCTTGGATGTCGTCAAGGTTTCTGATAAGGCCCCTGACGTTCCTTTTTATAATTTGGGGTGTTCATGGTGAATGTAAAGTAGTGCTGTGTGTACAAAAAGCGAGTGGCTGTTTGGCGGGGACTTTGAGTTCATGTAACAGGGCCGTCACCAGGCCCTGTTATCTGCTTTTTTGTTTTGTTTTTTTGGCGCGCTTTCACTCGCGGTGCTGTTGGCTGACACCTGAACCGCTGAGAAACAGCTTTGCCGTGCTCCGGAGAAGCCTGCCTTGCATCAGAAACCTCGTTGCTGCTAGACGCTCGACTCATTCCTTTTTGTAGGAGATGAGTCAATAAAGTAGCAACCTCCTTGGCGATAACTACGTTCTAGCGAACACTATTTCATGCGAAATCTCCTGCCGCTTGCAACGATCGCCTCGGGGAAAAGGTCAAACACAACTATGAAGACGCTCGGTCATTCAATCATCAGCCTATATATAGGTCGTGCTCAGCAATCCTCTAACTACGTACTATCGTGCTAACATGTCTTGCATTCGACACAACAATATCACAAACACGTTAAAGAAGAAAGCTTGCCGCAATTGCCACTCTGTCCGACTGTGTTTATTCATTGCACCCATTCCTGGCGGAGCTTCGTATCCTCCAGGAACACATAGAAGCTCGTGCCCTTGTCTTTCAGGCTTTTCTTGTAGTATCCTGGCACACAGCACGTGAACCCACACATGGCATTAGGTCTATACAAAGCGATCAGACATCTATATATAGCAGTGATGCAACCGCAACGACGCAGCCGCAGCCGAGTACTCCAAGTACCGGCAAGCACTGCGGCAGCGGTGGCGTAGTGTCACTCACTGTGAGGTCGGTCTATGACATCATCAGTTATGTTCGGGTCTGACTATTGCGTCAGACGGCTTACGATTTTTTCCTCGGTTTGATCCCAAACGTTAAAGAGAAGTGAACAGCTGTCATGTAAAGTCAGCGCAACCACGAGGCCAGAGAGGCCCGACTAACTAAAACAGTTTAGTATGTAGTGTGGTTTGCATGTAGGATCAGTCAGGCTTAGTCGGAATGTGAAGTTATGAACGTTTCATTTGTACTTTTATATATAGTTTTTGTACCGTGTTTGTGTTTATTAAACGTTGTGTCGTTAATCGTGTCTTGTCTCAATTCATTATCCGCAAACGGCCAAATGCGTGACAGCCGCCACGAGAGAGGTGTCTTTGTTGCCTTGTTTGTTCTTACGCCTAGTGTGTCAGTGCTCATCACCATCCTTGTATAAAACAAGAATTTCAATACGTTGCCACCGCATACCAGACAGATTGTTATGACTGCGGCACCTAAAGCATAACTAATGTCATAGCATCGCATGAGCATAGAACACTCTTTAAAACAAAACACCCTATAATAGTGCTTGTAGCGTAGCGTAAACGGCGGCCAGCCGGCTAGAGAAAAAGATGACGAGCGCTGGTGGCTCGTGGCGCGAGGTGCCCAGAACGTTGGTGTGTGCTTTCGGCAGGCTGGTCGCCACGGCCGCCGCTCTACTTTGGCAGCCCACTTCCTGTACGTCTCGTCCTTTCATTCAACCAGCAACGACGACACGTCTCCGTCCGACACCGTCACGTCGCTAAATGCTCAATTGTTTATCCGTGTGTGTAATCATGCTATTCTAAGTTGTTATTTTTTGTGTAAAATTTTTACCAGTAAAATATTTACCATTTCACTCAGCCGTGTTTTCCACTCTATACCACTTCAGAACTTGTGTTTTTTGTATGCTCAGTGATGTACACTTTTTATTAAATTGATGGTGATTTTGTTAGCCATTTAGCGAAACATGTATTGCTTTCATGATTGTGTATAAAATTTTACTGTTTCATATTTGTTTTTTTCTGTGTATGCTTTGCTTATTTAGGTAAACTTAAAACTCTGATGTAGTGTGCTGTTGTGTATTATTTCATGATTTCCTGAAGTTTCAAAATTGACGTCCAATCATATTTTATGTGCGCTCTGCGGTTTCTGCGATGCCAAGTACAAAAGGGTAGGAGACTCGTCAAGCTACTAACATAGCATCTTCTTGCTCCTATTCTTGCGTTTTCTTTCCCCAATTATGTAAAGAAAGTGCTCAATGACCTGAAACTGAAACTAATAGTTTGGCGTAACTTGGTCACTTGCTTTCCAGAACAATCATCAGTCCTTGAGGAGAAATGAATGATGCTACGTGGCAATGCGGATATAGTATGGGTGCACTCATCAGCACATGATTATGCAGTTTAGCATGGCTAGACCTTAGGTGTAACACTCACATTTGTGTAAATTTGATATTTATTGTTTTCTTAAGAGACACGATAGACCCCACTTTACGAGTGTTGTTAAGCGAACATGCCTCACAAAAAGGAATCTCTATAGGTTCCTGTTTAACCTTTTTTATTTATCAACAGTTACTTTTGATTGTCAGTGATTATATAGGTTAGCGAAGTTGAAATACCCTGCCTCATCAGGATTTTAAAAATATGCGCAGAGAGTCGTCGACCCACCGGAAGTAAAGCACGAACGACTACTCCTGATCTCAGCCTTGGGCCTGCTCGTCAATATAGTTGGCCTCGTCTGCTTCCACACGGGTCAACACTCGCATCAAGGTGCGTGCGCAAATATTGAGAATAAATGGTCCAAAACACACAGCTTGTTCGATGAAAGCATCGAGAGGCTCATTCTAGCTCAAACACTTTTTCTCCTAGCCTTGTAGTAGCATACTCAGCAAGCCTCACGTAGTTTGAAGCTTGTTTCGCGTGATGTATGTTGTGAGGGCGCAAAAATTTAGGAGAACCTATTTCACAAGACAAGTAAATAAATAGACCTTCGCATCGAAATAAAAGGCGCATACTTTTCGCCTGATTTTTTAATCTTTGAAAGCACGATCAGATGAGATTATTTGAAAGTGAGAATTGACAATAATGGAAGTGATTTTTAACTTAGCTTCACATAGTCTCTGCATCCCAGCTGCCACAGTTTATGGCAACAAACTGTCCAGCATGGTGAATAAGACGTAGTGTGTAGCTTCGGCGGGTGACAGGGACTCGTTTAAGCCACCTCACGTGTTCTTTGCTGTGAATGCACTTAATCAATTCTGCTCAAATGTAGTTGCCAGAATATATCGACACTGCATTGCTGAGTGGTTAGAAATCCTTAGATTCCATACTTGCAGGTGAACCATTCGTCTGTTTTACTGAAAATGCAGGCGTATCCAGATTGTAAACAACAAATATGAATCATTTGTATGCTTATTGATTTTTCAGTGATATGCGCAGACATACCGAAGCGCCAAACAGCGTTCACTCATTCATGACCACAGGGTTTAAAACCCTGTGGTCATGAATGAATGAACGCTGTTTGCATCCGAGACTCGCCACATGAGCCTGCGGCTGCGGCGTACCTGTCGCTTGTACAACGTCCATTAACTAAGTGCGTTTACTGAAAGCAAAAACTACGCCACGGTTGTTCGCCTCCTCTGGACAAGGTGTGCACCACCATGGTGTAAAAAAACAGAAAAGAATGCACTAAGCTGCGCAAAGCTAGACAAAGCGACTGCTTGCATGCCACAACAGATTGAGGGACTCGAAAGGTTCGCGAGTTGCGCATGCCGGTTGCTATCAGAGACGGAAGCCTATATTCTACAACAGAAAAGGAGTGCCTTTCCATCACGTGGTCTTCGTCAGACTTTCGCTCCCACCATTACAGCAGACTTTCCAAAATTGTAAGCACCCACCACGCCTTGGGTTGGGGGTCGAAATTGAAAGATCCTTCATGTCGCCTCACGTGTTGAAGTCTACGCCTTCAGGAATGTTGCCATTACCGTCTGTAGCTTCATCATCATAGCCATGAATCATAATCATTATCATCATTTCTTAGCCTCCTCACCACACCTCTCGGGCAGCATGTGCCTAGCTGGAGCTGCACGAGCTAAAGAACGGCTTCGCGCGCCTGGCCTGTCGGACGCTGGCAGCTGCCGTGGCCGCAGCCGCCAAAAGAAACGATGTGTCTTAAACTTCAATGCAAGATATGTGATTAGCGCGTGTTACCTTGGCATGACTGGTAATTTCAATTGTACTGTATAAATGTTTTGTGATTCATTACCCGAACCTTTTTTAACCATGAAACGCGATTGCATGAAAGCATCAAGTGTCTGTCCAATAAACTCGGTTGAGAGTTTGCGCTTGTGCACGTCCAGTCCTTCATCCCAATTGTTCACCTCTTAAGCAGTGCGCCATAAGGAGACAACAAACGTGCCCTTCGGCAAACCATGGGTCTATGCTTTGGCCACTCTGCCCGCCAGGGCCGCCGTTCTACCCGACCTTACCCTAGGCATGGTTCAATGGGCTCGATAGCGTTCCCGCTGTGAATGGCGCCATGGACCAGGTGCTTATGCACACTATCTTACTCGACGCGCTGCCGGTCGAGTGTCGCCATCTTTCAGCCAGATCAACCACAAGTCCGCAGCCGTATGACGGTTTCTGCACTGCAGTGCTCGCCTGCTACGGCCACAAGCACCACCCACTTCCGTTTAGCCGCGCCTGGCGGGTTTCTTCGGCAGCGGGCAGCGCTTGTACATTCCTGCACCATCCTAGCCGGTGACTGCATGCCATGGCGATTCATGGCTTGAACTAATACGAGTGGCCTACGGCCACCTGGATCGGCGCACGCGGCGGCGGTATTCCTCCGGCCGTCTCATACGAACGGAGGAGGCGTGATTGCAAAAGGGGGTGTAACCACACCATTCGCCGCATGGCGATGAATGCCTACTAACACTCCTTTCCTTTGGTGTCTTTGCGGTATAGTTTGCGGAGCTTTAAGATGTCGCTTTATTGAAATCACAGACCATGCGTTAGGTTTGCACTTTATTTTTTTTCGCCCCACCCAACCGCCTGAAATGAAACAAATACAAGGATTGATGGTAGCTGGCGCTATATTTCTTTTTTTTTTCACGCCCCAGCTCCTGTCGTGATGATAGTGACCGAAGCAAACACAACCGTGAGCCAGTTTTCTAAAAAAATATGTGCACTCTCGTACAGCACATCCGTAAAATATACACACAAGAACGTACTTCCCCGCTTGATTTATTGAGGTGCTTTTTTGTTTAACGCTTTCACAAGAGGGAACGACCCGAAGGATAGCTGAGCTGGCATCGTGGTTGTTTGCGGAGATACCTTGTGGTACTGAGGCCTTCAATGCACAAGCTTACCTACTTTATCGCACGCAACGTTTTCGGCAATGAAAGGAGGGCTACGGAAGTGGAGCTTTCTGCAAATGTGCTCCTACGCCAAGTAGACAGGTTTGGCGCGCGTCTCGCAACTATGTGTAAAGTGGTGGCTGGGCGCAACCACCTTTATTTCGCATACACACAGACACCGCTTAGCTATAGAGGTACAAATGGAAGGTGGGTTCATTTTACACGTGAAAAAAAGAAGTGACACCGTATAAAATGAAACAAGTACAACTATAAGACTGGTGTGTGATACTTGCCGTCTAAAAGAGTTACAATCATTCAGAAGAGTAATAAGTGCCTAATAAGTGCCTCACACACAAAAGTACACAAACACGAAGGTGGGCACTCGCCTACACACACAAGCGCGCGCACACGCATACGCACGCAGGCACTCATGCACGGCAGAGCACAAACACAACCCCTCACACTCGTTCACAAACGATTGATTGATATGTGGGAATTAACGTCCCAAAACGAACATATGAATATGAGAGACGCTTTAGCAGAGGGCTCCAGAAATTTCGACCATCCGGGGTTCTTTAACGTGCGCCCAAATTTGAGCACACGGGCCTACAACATTACCGCCTCCATCGAAAATGCAGCCACCGCAGCCGGGATTCGAACCGGCGACATAGACTGTTACCGAGCACCTCCACCCGTGTCACGTTACACCTTAACTGAAACCTGTAGATAAGACCACACAAGGACGTGTGGTCTTTTTGTAGGCTATTATAATATATCATCTGCATAAATCAATGCTGGTAATGACTGTAAATTGTGTTTTCCTTGCTTGGTAAAAGAGAGGCGGAAGCAGCGTTGACTCCCCTCTGATTTGGCTTCTTCTCACTGTAGATGCACCATAAATAACAACGGTGACAAGGGACATCCCTGTCCAAGTGCTCGTTGTACATCTATAGCTTCATGTACCAGTTCTTTGCATTTGATAACTACCTTGTTACATTTATAGATATCCTTTGGAAGATTAGTTATTCCATCTTCCATATCTAGTGTTTCCAGTATTCCCCACAATTCTTCTTGAATCACACTATCGTAAGCTTCCTTGACATCTAGAAATGCCAGCCACAGTGACCCGTGTTGTTTTTCCGCTATTTCAATACATTGCATCAACGAAATTAGATTCTCCTCCAACCTCCTTCGTTTACGGAAGCCACTTTGTAGTTCTCCCAGCACCCCCTCATTCTCCACCCATGTCTGTAGTTTTTCCTTTACTATATATCTGCATCACCAGCCTGTAAACAACTGATGTCACTGTTATATGCAGTAGTTGTTAATAACGACTTTGTTCCCCTTTTTTATAGGTCATGCTCATTCTGCCTAGTTTCCACCCATTGGGAGTTTCACCATCCATTATTGCTCTACAAGCTTCCTCTCCTAATGTTTGCTTAGAGTTTAGTCCTAGTTTCTTTATTAGCATAATTGGAATGCCGCCAAGGCCTCGTTATGTGCTATTAGAAACTATTTTCTCTGCCCTTTTCCACTCTCATTTTCCCAGTGGAGCCTCTGAGCTAACTGGTTCATTCTCATATGGTACGGTGAATGCAGCGTTTTCTTGATGTTTAAATTTTTCTGTCATCGTTGTTTTATATATTCCATTGCATCATCCACTTCTAGTCTGACCCCTTGAACTTAGTTTTAAAGCTCTGTTTCATATTTGTCTTATTACTCAGAGAATCAAGATGGTGCCAAACTTTGCAGCGGCCTTTTTAATATTTTTGTTTATATTTCCCCTCTCCATTAGTCTCCCTTTCTTCTAATCTTGTCACTGATCAAATCGGACGCTTCCCTTCTGCAGCTCAAAAAGTTATCCCATTTTCTTTTGACATCATCTTCCGGTTCACTCCTCTGTTTAGCATACCTGTGTTCATTGGAGGCTTCCTGACGTATTATTATGGCTCTTTTAACTATCTCACCCTACCAGCTCTTGGGTTTGTGTCCGCTTTTCCCAGTTGCTTTGACTCGTATCTTAGCAAGCTCTAACTCAAACAATCGAGTTAGAATTGAGTACGTCCAATGTATTTTAGTATCCTTCGTGATTATTTTCTCAATCTCTTTAGTTGCCCTTTTCTATTTGTCTTTCTGAATAAATATTACCGTGTGGTTGCTTGTAATACCAACTTTCCGTTTTCATTTCTCTTCCGAAACTCAGCTTGATACGTTTGTGATCACTACCGAAGCTTCTGGACCCATATTCATCTATGTTTATCACCCTTAGCTGATGATACACCCTATGTGACATTATTGCGTAATCTATCGTCAACTGCAGCCTTCCCACCTCCCATGTTATCTGCCAATGGATAGATGGATGAATGGATATGGCTGCACCCTTTAGATCGGACGGTGGCTAGCGCCACCAAGCCGTAATAATTCATGAACCAAAAATTAGATTTATTTTTTTTCTTTAAAGAGTGAGGTTGAGGATTCATACTTTGCAGCGAAGGGTTCAATTTTCACTCGTGCTTTGACTTTAGCTACCAATCAGATAACCTCCTTCTAGTTCATTCTACCCGCTTAAAGTCTATTTTGCCCTCACTGTCCCTAAACCACAGTGCTTTGAAAAACTCTGCGCCATCAACCTGAACTACAGGGTGAAGCCCTCTACAGACCAATATCGAGTGTTCGGCAGTTCCTTCTTCCTCTCCACACGCACTGCATACCGTGTCTACCCCTTCGTATTTGGCCCGATATGTCTTTGTTCGCAATACTCCCGTCCTGGCCTCAAACAGTAGAGAACTACCCCGAGTATTATCATAGATTCTTTCCTTGGCT